GTTTTAACTTTTATCCAATGTTTTCATTAAAATATTAAAATTTTTATTGTTTAAATACAGTTTGATCTCATTATATAGAACTGCCATTTATGGCATTATAAATTGGTGATGAACTTGTTATTTAAATAAAGAATTTTCAATTTGTTGTAGTGAAAGGCAAAGCTAAATACTAATGAATTTTCACCATGGGTAATTCAACATCATATTTAATTTATCCGAATAAATGTAGTTTCTATCTAATTTGAATTGAAAAATTCTCTTGTAAATTTTTATATTAAAAATAAAATTATTTGTACAATCAACTATCAAAAATAACTAGATTTTAATTACTCGCGTCTATTTTAAAATTTACATGATTTATATTAATTTTATCCCTTATATTTTACTGAGAATTTACTGTGAGTTTATGCAAAATTTACATATTCGTAATACTAACAATATTTCACTTTAAAATATAATACGCAAAGCTTACCATTTCGCAAAAAAAAATTAAATTTTTTTAATAAATAATTAATTAAAAAATTACTCGCATCATATTATTTTATTAATTTTTTTTTCCATGAATTAAAAATTAAAATTGAATATAAATAATGCGAAAAATAATTTGTTACGTTGAAAAGTAATTTTCATCTGAAAACTACTGTGAGCATAAATTATTATTTTAAATAACTTTTATAAAATCACAAAGCATACACAATAGTATTGCATATTTGCATATTATTACGTAAAACCAAGTTGGAACCAGAGGAAAACAATTTTTTTAATGGAAAAATTGAGACCTTAACTATAAAAAATTTAATTTTTTTAGACTTTTTTTGTATAAGAGTAGTGATTTTTTTTGTATAGTGAAAGACTTGTCGATTAATTGTAGCCTATAGTTTTATTGAAATTTAAGTTCAAATGTATTTTAGCAATGAACTTAAACTAAAATTGAAATTTTAAGTAAACATTTCAGAAAAAATAAACAAGCTTATGCTCAAAGCTTTAGTCTCTTCATAATGTCGCATAAGACATGATAAAGGAACTAAAATATAAAATTCAATTCTTCGAAAAATAGATTAACATGAAGGCCGAAAAATCAAAATTAGAATAGAGTTACAGGAACATCACAGTTTTAATATAAAATTTTTTCAATTAGTAATTTTTGGGAGCCGATTTCACTTAATGACTTTTCACTTATAGACATTTTAAAGAACAAAATTTTAGGATATTTGAATTTTAAAAATGCCAATTTTTTGTTTAACAAATTTGCTTGAACATACTGAAAAAACTGACTTAAATCAATAGTTGCATGATAACAGATTACTGAAATCAATATTAACACTATAGGTTAGATTAAAGCTATTGATATATACAGAACGGATTCGGTATATTGTGGACAAAAACACATTTAGAGATATTGGCTATTCTATCAAAAATTATTTTTAATAGCAAATTTCTGATTATTTTTATTTGTCTTAAGCGTTAAAAAATTTTGTTGGTTCCTGGTATAAATTTTTGGCATTTTTAGGTAAACGTTTGAAACATTTAATTTTTATATGAATTCATTAAACGTTTATAACATATTAATTAATTAATGTTTTTTATTATTGCTTAAGGTTTGATTTTTGGAATTGTTATTGTACACTATGGAATACTTGTTTTGTTTTTAACAAAACCCATGTTGTAAACAATGTTTTTGTATTTAATTCACAAGATTTTTTTTGTGGTTTGGTATTTATCCAGAAACCAACTTTATAAAGTCAGCATTTTGTTTTTTGGGTGCAATAAAATCAAAATAAAAAGATTTTATACATTATTAAATTCCATACAATAGTATGGAAATTAATAATAAATTTCTTTGTTATTACAAGATCAGAGGAAGTATTAAAAGTTAATAGGAAATGATTTTTTTTTTATAATTTTCAAAATTTGTAGGGTACCATGTAATTTTTAGTAGTATATTTTTTGTATTGCAATTTTGTATTAAATTACAAATTGCATATAAGAAATTTGGTTTATGTAGATTATATGCCATTACGAAGAACGTACGTTTTAAAACTAATAGATTATGTATTATAGGACATAATTAATTGCAAATTTTACTACTAATAGATTAAGATTACTACAAGTACTTGTAAATTTTGTTTCTTCATATTTCGATTGCCATAGAAGAAGGTAATTTGTCAAAAATTCCATCTTATTCAATTAAAATCGATATGCGAGCGAAACCCTATTTTATTATAAGGGTATAAATTTACTTTCTAATTTTTGGAACTACTATAATATTTCCTACATAATATACGTTCTTTCTCTGAAGCACATCAATAAATTCTAAGTCAAAATAATGCTACTTATATTATAATATGCTCCATATTCGGTCGCCCCACTTTAATTGTTAATATCTTTACTTTACAACTAAAAATTAATTTACTCATTCAAAATACCTATTTTTTTTTATTTAAAAAAAAAAAACAAAATAAATGTGTATAACAAGAATTATTTTTATTTAAAATTCACCGTCAAATGAAAAAAAAAAGCAAAAGGAAAACAGCAAGAAAAAAACAATAAAAAACAGACGAATATTTATTTTTAATTTCCGGTATTGCCTCATGGCATTGATTGTAATAGTGATGTTGTGTTAATGATAAAAAAACAAAAAAAAATAAAGTGATGCCAGTGTTAAAGATGTGTGGTATGGCGATAAATAACGTAACGAAAATAATTTTCATCATAGTAATTATATGAAAACGATAAAAAATAATGATAATACCGGTATATTTTTGTATGTCTATTTATACAAGTACATACCAAGTACATACGTGAACATAATAATATTATGGCAAGTATGAAAGGATATTTGTATATTTTTTTTGTTTTTTTTTTTTTTGAAATTCGCGAATAAAATTTAAAAATGAAAATATATATTTTTTTTTTTTTTTGATTTTTAAAAAGAGTGATTTGGAAAAACCAGTTAAAAAAGTAAAAACAAATTAACTCTGGGGAATACATGAAAAAGGGTTAAGTTTTCGCTTCTCTTCTTTTGTTTTTACAGTATTTCCTCTACGGTTAAAGTTTATAAAGGTTTTAAAAATTATGAACATTTCAAAAAAACCAAAAATAGAAGCAAAAAGGACGAAAAACAAAAAAATTATTATTTTTTTTTAAACAGTTACAACGGAAGGGTTCATTATTAATAATTTAAATAAATAAATATAAAAACAGCAACAAAAATAAAAATTAAAAAAATGTAAGTATAATTCTTATGGGGTTGCACATTACAATGAATTTAATACTTCCGCATTTAATGCTTATTTTCTCTTTTAAATGGTGTTGTTACAGTTTTTCATCCTTTATTGTGGTAATGCATTTTGGTATAATAAAAAGATATTCCTTTTTTTTCTTTGTTTTTCTTTTTGTTATTTAAAAATATTTAATTTTTTTTTTGCTTTTACTCTCGCTTATATGAATACTTAGTACATAATTATTATGTGTTTCTGTAATATTATTTACGTAACCCGTTTAGAAATTAGTTTTTTCAGGCATTATACAAATTTAGTAACAACAAGAAAATATTATAAGAAGATAAAGATGAAAGAGGAAAAAAAACCTAAAATACCCTATTTTGTTTTTAAGGATTATTGTATGCATATATACATATAAGTTGGGGTATAGGCAAAAGTGATATAACTGCTTAAAAACGGTTTTTCATACATTATGAGAAGCAGTTTTGTTACTTTAATTTTCCCTCCTTTACGGAGAATATTTGTTTGAATTTTAAGTGTGAGAGGGCCGGATTTTTTTTTAAATATCAGTCGTAATCTCCCTCAATATGATGCAGTATTTACATTTATCTTGCTTTGCTTAGAAACTGCCCAAAAAGGATAAGGCAGTTTGATTTAACTTTTGCACTAAGCCACTAAAATTTTTAAAATAAATGAATAAAAACGCAAAAACGAGAATGTTAAGTAAGATTTAAATGATCCAAAAAATTAAGAAATTTAAAAAAAATCATAGTGCAAATGAAATCAAAGTTTCTTATGGCAAACGTTGCCGTTCTTTAAGAAACGATTGTGTATTATCTTTCCAAACCCTTTTGATAAGCATAGAGAAAAGAAACTAAAGCAGAACAATTGATGAATTCAATTTTCATTATTTGATGATCAAAAATGATGAATTCGAAAAAAATTAAATGATGAAAAATTATTATAATTTAATTTTTGATGAACAATTGATGTACTACTAAAGTACGGGAAAAGGACCAACAATAAATTTGTTAAAAATTTTTGTAAGAAAGCCCTCATACTTTAATGTGTAAACTTTTCTGAAATAACTATTTCTCAAATAGTCAATAGTCAGAAACTTCATTTTTCCTAAAATTATATATTTTTTTGAAATAAAAATCATAGTTTCATCACTTTTAAAGTATTTTCGGTCTGGCCAAAACATTTGTGTTGACAGAGAAAAGAGACTCAGGCTTGCTAGAATGGCATTCGGAAGACTATAGGCGGTTTGGAAGCATCATCATCTGGCAAAGGCACCAAAATAAAAATCTTCGAGGCGTGCGTCAAATCGGTGCCCCTACATAGCAGTGAAACGTGGCTAATAAAAAAGAGCTAAAGCTTCATAAATAAATTCCTATGAATAATATGCGGAATATTCTGGCCAAGAACCACTAGTGATAAAGATATGTGGGAATTAACAGGGCATATACCAGTATACGGCCAGATCAGAAACAAGAAATGGAGCTGGATTGGTCACACTCTCCGAAGGCCAGTAAATAACATTCCACGAAAAGTTCTTGAAAGGAATTCGCAGAGTAAAAGGAGAGTAGGCAGACCCAAAGAAACATGGCGCAGATCAATTGAAAAAGAAGTAAGAGGCGCCCGAAAATAATTTTCCGAAATAAAATAAAATCAGAAACCTATGTAAATCTGAAAATTTGTTATTTTCACTTCAACAATGAAAATTACGAATTTATATAATACGTTCTTCTAAACTAAAAAACATAATGTACTCACCTAAATAAGCTTGTTGTGGTTCTGCCATTTGTATTAAAGCCGAATCTTTTTTGTTGTATAAAATTTTTACACGTTGCACATCTCCGTAAACACCTAGAATTTTTGAAACAAAAAAAAAAGAAATATGCACATGTTATAAAAAATTATTTTAGAAAATTAAATAACGTATATAAATAAAATATTTGATGCATGTAATTCAATTTTTAAAAATTTTTTAAATTTAAAACATGCTTTACTAATATAAAAAAAAAAATAAACTTAAAATATTTCATCTAAAAAAAAAAAAGAGAAGAGTTTAGAAATTTAGCAAAAAAAATTTTTTTGGTTATTAGTAAAATTATTTTTTTTTTTAATTAATTTTCAAATTAAAAAATAAAATAATTTGAAAAAGTAACATTTTTATCATGTTTCAAAAAAATGTATCGGAAAAATGTTATGATTAACTCTCTGTAGAACGCTGGTTTCCTGTGCTTGTCGTTTGTAACGATAAAAATCTATTCGTTTGTTTGTCATTTATCTAAAATATAATTTAGAACGGTTTCAAAGAACAATAATTTTTTAATTGAAATGTGAAGGCTTGCTGTTCTTGGTCTTAACTTTATGACTCTATTAAAATTATTCTATGGAAAATTAATTTAAGCTGGAACATTCTTGAAAAAACATAATAATATGTCGTCCCCTAGATTTTATAATATTGTCTATATTAAAAATATTGTCACTGTTATTTTCATTCAAAAATTAATAATCTTAATTTTATTATTAAGTATATTAAATGATTTAATATCATAAAGATTTGGCATCTAATCCTAAATCTGATAAAAACAAAAATTATTTTAATTGAATAATATTTTTGATTTGTAATTGGGTTTTTTTTTGTAAGATAAGTACAATGACTTCAAAATTGAAGTGATTACTTTAAAATTTAACAATCATAATTCATAAACTGCATTTTGTATAAATAATATATTAGTATAAAAGTGTATTCTTCATAATTTTAAAAAAGAAATTTCTTAAAATTGCATGCTAAAAGACTGTGCACGTATACTGAAAGAAAATATTGATATACTGGACACATAATCCATCACATTGTGTATGTTTTGAATAACTTTTATCACATTGTCCATGTTTTACATAACGATTATTCGTAAGGTATTATAAATTCTTCCATCCCACTTGTAACTTACATATATGCTAACTATGCCTATATACACTCGTTCAACGTTGATTTTTAATAACTCGATTTAAGCATTTGTGTCCGCAAAATTTTTAACTAAACGAAGGAAAATTGTAAGAATGACTGAGCTTGCGTATCAAAAATGAACTTATTTACATTAAGCTGTAAGTCCAATTACTTTTACTTGCAAATTCTTGTTAACTATATCGGAAATAAATTTCCACATGACAATTACATATGCATTGCAACTAATCTGGGAATCAGAATAAAATTTTTCTTTTCTTTTTTTTTTGTTAAACTAATTGAAAAATAAACTTAAATACATTTTGTGCTGACCATAAAGTTTTTCAAATCAGCTTTCTTTCGATTAAAACATATTTTATTTTACATTGAGAATGCAAAACGTATGTAATGTTTTTTTAATGTTCATAAAAAATAAATTGAATATATGAGTTTTTTTTATGCTAACTTTTATTTTTTATATATTTTTTATTTTTAATCATTTTATTAGAAAATAGTAATCCTCCCATACATGTAGATATGTAGGTATACGTTTGATATGCACATACATACACTATTCTAAACGGACCTGTGCATACAAATATGTGCATTTTTTATATTAGTAACTCTTCTACCCCTAATATTTTTTATGGACTCTTTGTAATATGTAAAATTTTTTGTCATGATTTATTTATAGATTTAAAAATTTGCATAAATATATATATAGGTAATCGTAAAACAAGAAATATTTGTTTTTAATTATAATTCAGAAGATACAGAAGATAAATTGTAAGTAGATTTATTCCTTGACTGATTACTGAATTATGAAAGTCCCATTTGAATTAAATGACCAGTAAATGTGAACTATAAAGCTTGAATTATTTTTCCCTCAATATTTCTATTACAATTATTTGCTACTCAACATGTTATGTTATTGTACTTCTGAACAATATCTCACTCTTACAATTTGATTCTGTTTAATTTAATATTCGAATAAATTTTTCATTACAAATATACATATACAGGGTGATTCAGTAAAGAGAACAATATTATATATCATTGTTAAGGGCATCAAAAATGGGTAAAATGTTTGTTTGGAACTATTTGTCAAAACTCAACGATTTCGGAGATACAGAGACTTTAACGAATTTTCATGAAAATTTTACGTGCCCAAGCTTTTTTGCTTGTAACTTCCCTTGTAAAAATGGTAGAGGCTAATAGTTTTTGAAAGGACTAGTAAAGAACTTGAAAGCAACATACTTTTTGATTTTGTATTCTACATACTTTCAGAATACTAAGTATTCGAACTTTGGAAAAACACAAATTTTTTTAATCTTGTATTTTTTCAATTTTCTTCAACGCCACAATTTTGTGTAAAAATTAATAGAAACTTTAAGTTTTTTTATTACAGAATTTTGGTCACTTTATTATGCATTAATTTAAGAAACGTTAAAAAATCTTTTACGATGCAGGAGATATAGAACAAACACTATTTCTATGTCCCTAAGGGCCCTAATAATATGTTTAAAATCAAAAAATTGTCACTATTTCCAAATTTTACTGATTTTAAGTGCTGTAATGATCAACAATTACTAACAACATTCAGAGCACTTCAATAGCAATCAAACTAAATCGAAATTGTATAAACAAGATAAGGGTACTACTTTATATTATTAATAACATAATGTGATAATTAAGTAGGTAATTGTGAGATTGCAAGAATTGCATTCAAACGTCATTTTACTCCCAAAATTAAAAAAAAAAATTAGTTTCTGAGCCAAATTTGTTTTATTTCAGTTTCTTAAAAGTATCTACACAAAATCAATTTTCCATAAAAAATTTATTCGTTTATAATGTGAAATTCAGTAACAAAACATGTAGTTAACTCAGGGTTCTTTGCATAAGGTGGCAAATGAATTAAGGAACGATTCTTTGATCAATTTCCAGCAAAAAATCATATGGATGGGGTGAGGAATGCAGATATATTGCTTTTCAAGCTACAGTATTATCTCAAATCAAAAACCGTGCATAATTTTAAGATAAACCGTATATTGAAAAACTAATTAAACCATTTTAGGAACAATAGTTTCCCTTGTTTTTTTTTCTAATATGAAGATAAGGTAGATGAGTGCATTATAAGAAAGCAAAAAACCCAACATTTACTATATAGTACAAATTTGGCACACATTCTTTCATACGGTACTAATTTTATTAAATAAATTATAAATATAAGTTGTTAAAAAAAAATTTAATTATGTTTTATTATAATTAATGTGAGAGCATTTTTGTATTTTGACAATAAAATTATAACAATGCTCTTTATAAAGAAATCGGAAATTTTTAATAAAATTGAGTAAAAATTATAATAATTGCATATTTCCTTTTCGAATATTATTAGGGAAAATTTTTATTAAATTCAACTTTAAATAATTTCTAAGAAATTATTGTTATGTAAATATTGATGTACAAAAAATATTTATGTAAAAAAAGAAAACAAAACGAAATAGAATAATAATAACAATTTAAAGAAAATATATACATATATATAAATAATATTAAATTTTTCTAATATAAATTTCTTTTGGTTGCTTTTCTATGAGATCTTCAGTTCATTCAAAACTTCAAGATAGATCAGGGAAAAGTAAAAGAAAATTTAAGAATAAAAAAATAAAATTGTGTTTTTCTTTTTTCTTTTTTTCGTTATGATCAATAATTCATTTGAATAAGTTTCTTGTTAATCTAAGCTAGAAGCAATGTAAAAGGACTATACAATAAAAATAGAAAAAAAAAACAGAAAATTCATTCATGGTTCAAAAGAAAAAGGAAATTGAAGGAAAAAAAAATATTTTCTTTTTCTCCTCTTCGTTTCCTCAAAGTTCGTTTGCTAAGAATTAATCGTAGAAAAATAGAAACGAGGATTTCAAGGAAATATGCATATTGTACAAACATTATTATAAATATATTTTATTTTCATATGTTATTTATTAATATATTGTAATGTAATATTAAATAAATACACAAAATTTTATTCTACCATACATACGTATATTGGTATAAATGTATGTTATATTAAAAGCTGCCGGTATCTATTTTCTTTCTATGTGCTCAATATACAAGGTATTATACAACATCAAAAAAAAAAAAAAAGAAAACAGGAGAAGAACACTAAAATATAAAATAAAAAAAAAAATGAATAAATTCAAATCTATTCCATAAGCAATTCAAGTAGTCTATTTTTACTAAAGAAGACAGCAATTGTGGGGATATTTACAATTTTGTTCTATGTGTATATCTGGTACTGTTATCAGAGATTTATAATCATGAGTAATATTTTAAATAAAAGTATTCTTAACGTTCATATGACAACAGTGGTTTATTTTTTATAATAATACAAAAAAAAAAATAATATTTTTTTCCAAAAGATTTTTTAGAATAATTTTAAAAATAAATTAATTTTAAAGACAATTTTTTTTTTTGTACGATTTGCGCTTTAAAATATGCAATTTAATATTCTATATAATAAAATATACGGATACTACATATTTATAGGAATGAATGTTCAAGTAAAAGTGTAGTGCTACGTTCCTATAGCAAACAAAAAATTATTAATATGAAATTGAATAAACCCACACTACTAGTATGGTGATAAGAAAATTGTAAAGAAAAATATGGAAGGCCGTAAAAAACGTAAGAACTTTAAATAAACGAATGAAAATTTTGTGATTAAATTTAAAAGTTTTAATTTTAATTTTTATTGTTCTCAGGACACCTTATAATGTCGACTATAAATGAATTTTTTTAATATAATTTTCATAAAATTTTTGTGTTTAATCAAAAATCAGGGTGTTAGCTAGTATCAAGGTAAGACAATTGATTTAAATCACGAAAAGTATTATCGGCTTTGTTGACAATATTTGCA